ACATCATCTGTTCTTCTGTAGAAAACTAACTGATTTAAGGGGATGTTTTCTTCCCAAGCTACCCCACACATCTAATTGCCTCTACTCCTCAAGACAACAATTAGAACAAACATCCAACTATTACCGAATGGCATCATGCAGAAGAGTTAACGCTCAGATGCTACAGGATCGCTAACAACAACAACAACATCTATACACAAAGCTGTACACAATATGAATGGAATATCTTCAACACCTGGGTTTCGAACTTATTGCTTTTGCTGTATGCAGTGTTAAAAAGCCTAACCATTACCTGCCACAAGCCTTTGCACTGAACCACAAACCTGAGGCCGAACTCGCTACTTTTGTATACATGACTAATGTGGACCAGTTCTTAAAGGGTCATTGGCCTGAAGAAGTAAACTATGGCTTCAATACTGCTACTTAAAACATGCGATACTATGTATAGTATTACAGCCGTTATAAGCTAACCTCAGATGTAAAATTGTGTGCATTTTCATAGACCTGTTTGTCCTCAGGTCATTTCATACGTCAATGGCTTGGCGACACATGCACACATTAGGTGTAACTTGGAGAAATTTTTTTATGATTACATCCACAGAATAAAGAACTTTTGTGATGTTGGAATTTGTCATTCTGGTCGGTTAAAGAGAAGAAGAAAAAGAAGAAGAAAAGGAAGAAGAAGAAGAAGAAGAAGAAGAAGAAGAAGAAGAAGAAGAAGAAGAAGAAACTCTTTTCGTTTTTAACCTTAGAATAGGAGGGAAAGGTGAGGGTGGGGAGAGGGGTCTACAGTTAAATCTCTTCCTATACCAACCTGTACAAAAACAATCACTCGTCAAACCACAAAAACAGCGACACCTGCAGTTCCCGCTAGTCTTTTTTGCTGTTATGAAACTACTGTCTTAGGCGTTACCTGTCTAAGAAAACCAGTTTGCTCGTTCGCATTGGATAGCCGTCTTAAACGAAATTTACTGTGGCGTCGGTAGCCTAGTGGTTAGGCTCTCGGACTCGCAACCGTAAGGTCGTGGGTTCGAATCCCGTCAAGGGCCCGACGTTGTGTCCTTGGGAAAGGCACTTTACACGATTTTTCCTCACTTCACCCAGGTGAGAATGGGTACCCGGCTATAGACAGCGAAAGATCTTGTCAGTTTGTTAGTGTTTGAGCGCTTAATCGGCTGCTCGTACTGTATGCTTCCCGGGAAGCTGAGAATGTTTCGGAGTGTTCTATGGTCTGCTGGGGTAATAATATAGTGTAAAGCGCATAGAGCCTGCTGCTGAGCGGGGATATGCGCTATACAAATGCTATTTATTATTATTATTATTATTACTGTATTTGTGAACAAGTCACTGAGCGTGTCTACAAAAAAATCATAGTGACAAACGGGGAAGGGTATGGGGGGGGGGGGGGGGTAGACATCGGTCATTATAATAATGTTTTTAAACATCCAGTGAGTAACTCACGTGAGGTCATAGAGGAATCTGCCGTCCGGCACAGTCAGTTTGAGCGCCACCTCCCGTTTGAGTGGTCCGCCGTTGAGCTGTAATCCGGTCAGTTTCTCCAGGTAGTATCTGTGGAGGGCGGGAAACCGATAAATGTAGGTCAAACCTGAATGCCTGTTCTTGGTGTTTGTCGTACAAGTGTATTCACAGATGTCGAAAATCTTGCTTGTCGGGTTATTTCTGCATTTCATATCAGTATTGATGTGTCTGACTCTTATGATATCACCTTTCAGCGTACTCTCGTGTTCAAAAAACGTGTAATTTCTTCAAAGCAGAAAAACAATATTACAAATCTAACAAAAACGAACAATATACATACCGTCAGCAACAATAGCAACACCATGAGTTGTTGACATCTGAACAACCACAATAAGATCAACACGAATAAAAAAAAAACAGCGACAACAATAACGACAAAACAACATCAGCAGCATGAACAACAACAACAACAACAACAACAACAACAACAACAACAACAACAACAACAGCAGCAACAACAACAACAATAAAATTAAAATAATAGATTGCATTTTTATAACATTTCTACCCTACAGGAATATACGCTTGGAGCGCCCTTGCATCCACCACGTGATCACTGGTTGTAATATTTCATTCCCACAATAAAACAAGTAAACCAGTTCAACCACATAAAGAATAACTTTCTCAACCGTGCATTAATTATACACTCGTAAGGACAGCGGTAAAACAAACATATCAGCACTTACTAATACACTACTAAGAATTAAACTAAATAAGTCTTAATAAACGTATTAAGATGTGTTGTTTCTCTGAGTTTTTGGGGCAAGGAGTTCCAAATTTAGAACAAAAATGAGAACCTTTTCTAACCAAAAGATCTTAATTTCTTCGTAGGGGCTCTGAATTTTGTTGTGTCAGTGGATGACCGCAACTGGCAGGATGGGACATACGGTGTTAAATGTCCAGATAGATAGAAGTATTATGATGGAGTGTTATTGCTCTGATACTTAAAAACAGAAGATTAAAAACTATTGTATTAATTTATCGACTGGAAGCCACAGCAGGGCTTTCATTATTTTTGGTGCAGGATATTCTCTTCTTTTTCTTCAGTATTTGTCATTCGGTGTTATTTTGGACCACTTTCTGCATTCTCTCACTTGAGAAATCAGACAGAACACAATTACAATAGTCGAATTTTGACCAAACATGAGAAACAGAGCGCGTGCTTGCAATACCACAACAAAAACAACAATAACAGCAACAACAACCAACAACAACAACAACAACAACAACAACAACCACCACCACCACCAGCCAAGTCTCCCTAGACTCACTCGACCAGACGTCCCTGGTTGGCCTTCTCCTCCGGGCTGAGGTCATAGGGTACGTCCCCGCTCTTGACCTGTTTCTTGGTCAGGCTCTGTCCACGTAGGTAGAACCTCTGTCTGCCCTCCTTGCCGAAACCTTCCTTGAACACCTTGGGGGTCAGTCCTGGAGGATGGGAGGGGAGGGATTAGGGTGAGGTGGGTAGTGCAATGTACAGGTGTTAGGGAAGAAAGGGAGTAGATGCGAGGTGGGGAGGGGGGTTGTGGGGATGGGGCTGCTTTATTAACTAGATTCTAAAAACAAAGTAAAGTACAAAGACTGAGGAAACCCTTTTTCTCAGTGAACTGTACGAACAGAAAGCATTATATAATTTATATATATATATATATATTGGGAGGTGGGGCAAATTTTTAGCCAATAACTTTGAAGGGGAGTGGGATAGATGGATTGGGGTGGGAGGTGATTCTGTAGACAATTTTTGTGTGTACCACTGTGCTATGGGAGTGTCTGTTTTGTGTGGGATATTTATATCAGGGTGACTGGTAGTGTATGATTGCACGGGGTCCCTTACGATGTATGTAAAAACTGGAATGTGTTAATATTTTGTCTGTGCTTGTCTTTCAGGGAACCTCTGGCCAATTAAAAGGAAACCTGGTGATATCAATATTCTCCTGGTTTTGTTTAACGCCAGTTCCATCACCTGCTATCAGTCAATACAGTAGCAAAAACTAGTTGTGTGTAGGCTGAGGTGTGCTGACCAACCGTACCGAGTTCTGAAATGACTTTCCAGAGTCTGTGCATGGCGCCCTCGATGAACCTCATGCCACCAATCTCCAGGTTCACGTCGGGTGTGTTGGGCAGCTGGTAGGTGAACAGACGGCCACCCACCCGGTCAGAGTACTCAAACACAGCGATGTCCAGGCCAGACTCCCTTAGCATGTAAGCGGAGTTAGCTCCCCCTGGCCCCGCCCCCACGATGGCCACGTCATAAGAGGAACCGCACACATCTGGACAGGAGATACAGACATGTCACAATTCTCTCATAGGATTCAGGGATATAATAATGTTTGTGTATCACAATTCTCTTATGGACACAGGGATCTAGAAACTAGAATAATGCAGCATAGGATACAGTTATCAAGAAATTGAAATAATATTACTTAGATGAAGATAAATCTTTGTAAGAGCAATTGTCTTCCTTTTTAAAAAAATGAAAAATATTTACAATCATTATTCTCTATTTCAAAGCTCAAATCATCCAAAAGAATCCAACTGTATTCTTTTGGAAACATTAAATGACAATTTTCCCCTGTTAAAGGAACAGATGAACAAAGCACCGAGTGACCTCTCCAGCAGCTGTGTCCTCACCTTTGTTACACTGACGCCTGTTTCTGCAGACGCCGTTGGCGTGGTCATAGATGACCAGCGCACAAGCCAGGAGAAGGAAAGCAGACGACATGATGGCGATCTCTCTGATGCTCTCAGGGACACCTTGGTTTCCTGTCGGCTCCTAACGGCTTTATATAGTCCGGAGAACGTCATGTGATACCCATCTCTGCTGATTATAAGAGATAAAATAGGCGTTGTCAGAAAGATTATCTTGTATAGATTTCGCTGTCTGGAGCAACTGCAAGAAATGTTTCTTGTTCAAATACCCCATGATTAAATGATTGATAAGAGAGGCAGTTGCAGAATAAGAATAACATACAATGTTTTAAAAGTGAAAGCAATTGAAAGCCTTTATCTGCTGATACTATCATAATTTACAAAACCCTATGAATATTCTGTACATGAAAAGAAAACGTTAAAAAATCAATATGATATCGTTTGCTGGTGCTCCATGTCGATTTGATGTGCATTGGTATGCATACAGCATTATGCACTCTCGGAGACAGCCTGCTGGCTGATGTCATAGAGATTCTATAGTTAGTGTTCTGTTGCTAAGGTAGCGATGGAGTTGTTGATAAAAACGAACACAGACCTTGGGATGGGGGGGGGGGTGTAGATTCCTTAGACAGATTGTCTGTCTGTCTGTCTGTCTGTCTGTCTGTGGCTGTTGATCTTGCAACAGGCCGGTGTCTCCTCCAACTGAAACTTACGAGTAAGGGGGCAACAACTGGCGGGGAAAAGAAAGGAGGGGGAGGGGGGTTCGGAGGTGGGAGACATTCGTTTCTGGATCGATGAACATGATATTTATCAATGCTTGTACTTTGAGTAAAACTACAAGTTCATTGGAACAGATATTTATTTATTTATTTATTTATGACCAGAATATATAGGGTAATAATGGGACATCTCTCCTGTTCTTTACATATGCCGTATATAGTATAGGGAGGGACAAGGCGCTCTTTTTGACGGTATGGGGTAGTGCTAAGATGACTGTCAATAGACAAAAGCAAAGAAGAGACTCTACGTGTGGCATTATGGTGAAATCAAACGCTCATCAAAAAGATACAATCGGAGAGATAGACATGTTTCTATTCTTTTTTTTTTAAACATATTTTTTAACGATTTTTTGGGGCTCAACATCATTGCTTTTTGTAAGAGCGTCTTGTCCCAACCTAAATTATATATGGTACATGCAAAGAATAGGAGAGATGTGCCATTATTACCCTATATATTCTGGTCATAAATAAATTTTAAAAAATAACTGTTCCAATTAACTTGCAGTTTTACTCAAAGTACAAGCATTAATAACTATCATGTTCATCGATCCAGAAACGACATGTTTCTTTTCTTTTAAAAAAATCCTTTTTTAACGATATTTTTTTGGTTCAACATCATCGCTTTTAGTAAGTACTTTCAAAATATTGATCAAAGACACCACAAAAAAAGAAACGTACATTTTCAATTCCCAAGGACATTCAAACTTTGGGAATCATAAACTTTCGCTGTCATTCTCTTGCTAATTTTTATCTCTGACACTAAACATCATAATCATTTAAAATAGAAACGAAAGAACTATGAATTACGATGACTAATGGCTTTTGCTATGGCAAACGAAACCAATTCCGACACAGAAAAGTTTGTCATATATTGATCATTTAAAAGCTTCATTTCCACGTGTACAAATGCAGAGCTTGCGGCTTCCTCTCTTGGCTTATTCAGCTGTTTTACTACTCATAATTCGTCGCAGTCATTCAAGATAGTAATTTCTCAAAATTTCGAAAAAAAAACCCTATTAAAATCAAGTATGTTGTAAAGTTTGATGAGGGGTATAATGTCAGTCTTAGTGTCATTCCTCTTATTAAAATAGATAAGGATTCTGAGGAATAAAGCATTTCGTATTAACAATACGTTCTGCACGAAATAAATCAGATTTTTGTTTCTCCTCATAACTTTGTATTTTGACACAGTACAATGATGAATGACGGCGACAATATGACATGTTGCCCTCTGTGACTGTTGCTCGTGAACTGTGTTAGTCGGCAGAAGGCATTCGGAGACGTATCCGCGAGCAGCCAGGTACTATTCGGAGACGCACTCCCGCACACAGATGCACTGCTTTGGGTGGTCAAACTGCGTGTTATTTGCTTCAGATTATACATATAGCCACTAAAACTGTCGCAAATAAATTACTTCCAAGTAAATTTCAAACTTAACTGCGACATATAACATTATGGGTGTAACTGCCAGATATTTTGGTTGTTGGTCTGGAGGCACAAAGCATTTTGATTGGTCTATCTCCGTCGGAGACCTCTCTAGATAGATACTGCGGTGTTTGTGTCAGGAGCTAGACACTTCCATGTCAAGGGTTTAATGTTGAGTTTATTCTAAGACTTTTGTGAGTGTTTTGTAGCATTTTAGGGCACAAGCGGTATGCTACAAAACACGACGACAGCTCAAAATATATTACAGTATACAGTATGCTGCATTGGCGTTCTGAAATCATTCATTCTCACGACATTCCACCTCCGCGAAGTTGAGACCATAAGTGTAAAAAACAGACTCTTCCCATTTGCTCCTTTTGCGAATTTTGCTGTTTGATATTTTGTTCTGCAATATAATACCAAGATTTCACCCTGGACGTTTAATATGGGAGTGATTATTATGCTTCTTGTCATGAGTTTGGCGCATTTACCAGGTCTCTGTACCGTACAGCAACAGTTAGAAAGACTAACATTACATGATACATATGATCATACAACGTAGGTACTTGCATTCATAAGTCATACGTTCTTACGTACACACCCACACAAAAAACACGAACTTGTTTATATAGCAGAATATACAACAGTATATCAATACATCGTCTCTCTCTCTCTCTCTCTCTCTCTCTCTCTCTCTCTCTCTATCTATCTATCTCTCTCTCTCTCTCTTACTCTCTCTCCCTCTCTCTTTCTCTCTCTCTCTCTTTCTCTCTCTCTCTCTATCTCTCTCTCTCTCTTTCTCTTTCTCTCTCTTTCTCTCTATTTCTCTCTCTCTCTCTCTTTCTCTTTCTCTCTCTTTCTCCCTATTTCTCTCTCTCTCTCTCTCTCTCTCTCTCTCTCTCTCTCTAATTCTCTCTCTCTCACACCCACAAACACCCACGAACACACACATACATACATACATACATACATATATACATACATACATACATACATACATACAT